ATCAGAAAGATACCAGAGTTGGCAACAGAGACGGACTTCAGAGATTGGACCAGAGAACCTCTTAAGACTCTGCTAAGTATCATCAGAATCCGGAAGCCCTTCCAACGGTCGTTAAACTAACGGGAAATCCCCTAACGGTTACGAACCTTTCAACGGAAGCATGGCACTGTACACGCATTAAATGCACATTTAATGCTGTACGTACGAAGAGATATTTAAAGCTGATGATTGACCATGCGAATATCTTTACGCCCCCAAAATAGCAAGTCGGAGGACTAAACGGTCAAGTCAACAGTACATGCATTTAATGAAGCTGTCTTCTACACTCCAACGGGAAGACCGCTCCCAGTATATAAGATACACTCTGAAGAACTAAGAAGATAACTTTGATATAACTTTTGCTAAAGATAAAATTTGCGTAAGTAGCTTTCTTGAGATCCAAACTCCATTCCTAACAAGAAAAGGCCACAGTTGGAAGATAAACTTTCCTATCCTTCATCCAACTAGCAAAAGGCAAAGTTACTCAGTTCTTCAACACTTCGAGAGCTTCATATACTCATCTTTTGTGAAGAAGCAACGTTGGAGAAAACTGATTCTATATCAAACACTTCTTGAAAAAGAAGGGACGTCTCAAATTAGCTGGAGTAAGTGAAGTGGAGATACTTCAAGAGACTCAGTGAAACGAGACCAGCCATCAGGAAGCAGGACTGCATCCCGGGTGACAACTAGACTTGAAGAAGACGAGGAGTGCTTCTTAAGTTCTAGGGACTAAGGCGTTGTAAACTGTCGTTTTTGCAAGCTTAGTGGAACAGTGGACTAGAGGAACGAGTTGTTCCTTGAACCACTATAAAAACCCCGGTGTCATTTACTTTAAGCTTTTAATTACTGCACTTAAGATTCTACTGACTAACTCTTTAGGTTGGAATCTGTGTCCAGCAGATCTCCCTTCAGAGTTATCAGAAAGGCATTTTGCCTTAGCTTTCTTCTAGAGGCTACCCGGACAGAAACTTATCCGCTGCCTGGTCTAGTTCTGCCATCAGAACTTGACCATCTCTGTCACCAGATTTCGACCATCTCTGATAAGTCAGACTTGACTTAGAGAAAAGTTTAAATTCCTGAACAGTCTATTCACCCCCCCCCCCTCTAGACTGTTCCCATTACAAACGGGACCAACAGTACTTGATCACATTTAGTTTTTATATTTGATATATACACGGTATTACACTTTATGAATGATTGTTTTTCGATTGTCAATGTTTTATTCATAATTGTGTTCCCTTGGATTTATGTTGTCAATAAGTAAGTGGGAGCTTATATGATATACCATAAGGTCCTAAAATAGCCCCAATCAATGATCATCAAGAATGGGATATTGATGATATGCGATAAGATTGATATGTGGACTGCATCATACTTTTAGAAAGTATAGTTGATCTCACGACTATGAGTTCCTTTAATTCATGATGGTCACATAGATATTTTAGAGAATATTGGCATACCCACCGAGAAACCATTTGATAAATTCTATTCATGTGTCTATGGGATTATCGGCGTATAGAGTAGTGTAATAGTCCTCCGACTTGAGGTCAATACGTACTACATGTGCGGAGTGATGTACTTTGACCATGACCAACGCTTGCACTCCAATCGGGGTAGATACAACATGTGTTGGGTGCATCACGAAGCACATGGAGTAGTAGTTGAGCCAAGAAAGGATTCATTCCTCATAATAGATTAAGAGAGAACATTCTACTTCTCATATCTAGATGGATCATAAAGTCATTGGCCAATGCAAAGATATATTCGTTTTGGATATCGAATATGATCGTTATGGATTATCTAGAAAGATTGAGAGATAGAGACTGAGTTATTGAGATAGACACAATATCATGTTCTAGACTTAGTTGAATGTTCGCTGAATGAAAGGACTGTATCACTATGAGCTCTATATTACAGGGAGTTTGAGTAGTCCTCGCAAACGTCCTTATATATTAAGATTGTCTCGTAAATCGTCTAGGGATTCTGCCAAGACCTTAATTTGATTAGTGCTTAATATATAAGGCCCTATGGGTCACACAACAAGTGATTATACCTTCCGATTGAATTGTTAGAAGGAATTAAATATTAATTGGATTAAATAATATTTAATTTGTAATACTGAAATGGATTAAATATTAGTTAGATTAAACTATATTTAATTCATGATGTTGAAGGAGAGTTCTATTTGATAGAATAAATTAAGTGTGATAAATTAGATTTATTATACCTAATTAAGGTGTATTTATTATTAAATAAAGTTGGTATTTTGTTTTATTGATTTGAAATTAAAAAGGAAAATAAAATAAACTAAATAATAATAAATAACATATAGAGAGTGGCGTGCAGCCACTTCTCTATTATTATTATTATTATTACTATTATTATTATTATTATTATTATTATTATGTTTTATCCAACTTATTTAATTAATAATGATGTATTGGTCCTGGTAGGACTATAACTCATTAATGAGTAAGACTTTGGTTGTGATTAGGAAACTAGTTTAGAACTAGTATAAATACACCCTCCTCCTTCATAATTCGGTGACTAGTTTTCAGATTTAGTATTACCAGTTTAATTCCCTGCGAAGAGATTTCCTAGCCTTTCTCTTAGGGAGATCTAACCGTTCTATCGGAAAGGAGAAATCACGTGGGTACCAAAGGTCAAGGATTATCACCGCAAGGCTGGAAAATCTGTAAGTTATAACTCAGATCTGTTATTATTATCATATTCGTTATTTTGTCATAATCAGGGAAGATCTGTTTGGGAAAATTTTAAATTTCCGCTGCCGTACTTTCGAGGTACGTTACATCAATTTCCTAACAGTGGTATCAGAGCCAAACTGATTTTAATGACATTATATGATTTTTAGATGTATTTTGGTTGGCAAAATATCTGATCGGCGATTGAATTAGATTAAATTTTGTTTTAGAACATATGGATAAGATTTGATTTTAGAAATTAAATTTTGGAATATATCCTTCTGATGCGGTTCCTTACGAACAATGATCTAATTCTCCTACGTGATTCAACGCTGGAAAATCTATGGGTATATGGTAGAAGAGTCATTTGGCAAGATTGCTTTGGAAGTATTAAGGTTTGATCTTACTGGTTTACTTATTTGCTATTTTTTTATTTTCTTTAAAGATGGTATTCATTAACTCCGTAGAAAGTAATTTGAGCGTTGTATACAAGTAATTTGATTCAATTGAAGGTAGAGACGGAGTAATAGTTAATATTAAAGTTCGGCTTATTTAAATTGATTAATTATCTTAGAGATTCAATAAGTTTAATTTTGATAAACTATATTACTACATCCTATTGTTATTTCAGCATGCTTAATTAACTGTTTGGTTGTTTTATTTGTTTAATTATAAATTAGATTTATATTGCATGCTTTAAATTATCAGTCTGAATTAGATCCCGTTAACATATTATTTGATAATATGCTATTTGCATCTTGATTAAAGTAATTTAATATCCCGCTAAATGTTCCCCTTAAATTAAAATTTAAGTCTTATCTAGGATAACGGCATCACCCATCATAATTAAATTAGTAGAAATATTTTTTCGTTGAAGAATATTTCACCCAAGTGTTTATTCCATTCGACAAAATATAGAACTAATTTATAGATACATATGTTTGTGATCGTGTGATGGTTTTGACTTACTTAAATTAGCTCGAGTCGTCCAAGCGTCAGTGTTAATTTAGGGATGTCGATCAATTTAAAAATTGATCAACCAAAAGTTGCTTGGATGCAATTGGTCTAGGAACCTACCCATTATATTATTGCAGTGATCAGCCCAAGCTGGGACTGTAATAGTATGAATGAGGATTTTGGCCACTATGATTGTAAAACATTCCATGTTCCTTTTATTGGGGTCAAAGAGCATGTAAAAATAGTGGGAGCTAAATAATTAAAAGTCCATATTATTTAGTTAACTAGATGTGATCATAGGAATTAATATATGATTTTAATTCCGTTCTATTTGAACTTCTTTAGGCTTTTAGGTATGTCGAATTTATCATTGAGAAGTATCATGGATACAAATAATCTGATTGAACCAAACTTTCTAGACTTGGAACAAAATATGTGTTTCGTTCTTAGGAAAGAAAATATCGAACATCTATTTGATACATGTGTACCCGAGATCCTTGATGTTAGCTCTTCTGAATTAGCCATGTTTGACAAGGACATTCAGAAGAATCACATTGCTGAGGTGCCAAATGATGTATGTCTCTACTGCAAAGAGATAGGACATTGGAAGAGAGATTGTGAGATATACAGAACTAACACTAGTACAAAAAAGACTTTTCACATCGGTCAAAAAAGGCTTTTCACATCGGTCAAACAACCGATGTGGTTCCAGCACATGTGAAAAGTATTGACTTTTGACATCGGTCAAACAGTCGATGTTAAAAAATTTTCTACATCGGTCGTTTAGTGCCCGATCTAGAAGATAGGCCGAAACGGCGTTTTTAATGATATTTCACATCGGTTATAACCCATGTAAAAAAGAAACCACATCGGTTATTTTATAACTGGTGTAGAAAAGCTTTAATTTTTCCCGGAGCATTGGTTTTTTCACATCGGTTATAACCCATGTAAAAAAGAAATCACATCTGCTATTTCACAACTGATGTGAAAAGTTTCATTGTTTTTCGGAACATATGTGTTTCACATCGGTTATAACCCATGTAAAAAAGAAATCACATCGGTTATTTCACAACTGATGTGAAAAGCTTCATTTTTTTCGGAACATATGTGTTTTACATCGGTTATAACTCATGTAGAAAAGCAATCACATCGGTTATTTCACAAATGATGTGAAAAGCTTCAATTTTTCGGTATTTTTCATGAAAAAATTTTGCAATATCACCCCTGTTTATACTATAATCAGGGGTGATATTGCAAAATTTTTTCACATCATTAACAGTATCATCAACTACTATAACACAATTTTTCACCTGTTCACTTGATCCATCTAAAACAATAACACAAGCTATTTTTCAATTCTTCCACAAATGTTAAACAAGTTCAAGTAACAACTTAGTACATAATAACAAGCTAAAATAAAACAATCCTTGCACAAGTCTAGAGTAATAACACATTGTACTTGTTTAACATCATCACTCAAAAACTTAAACAAACATGTTCATCATGTGTCGTTGATGGATTGCGTCATTTCTAAGAAGTATGATGCCCAACGAGTCCGTACTTCATCAATCTCTTCTGATGAGAATGGTTCCGGATTGGCGAATCGCTACAAATTAAATAAGAAGGTTATTAAAAAACATTACATGTGGAGCAAACCTATTGAATGTAAATAAAATAATAACGTACCTCATCCCACATTTCAAGAATTACCGCCGAAACAATATTCAACATATGCAACATTACATAATAACCACATTCATAACTCCCAACTTGCATCCGAGACTACAAATTAGAACAACATACTAATAAGAAATTACGGTATTCGACTTGGTACTACACAAATGAAAGTAAAAATAACATACAAAGTAAAGTAGTAAGTATTTACCATAGGAATAATCCATTTCACTCTTCCCTTTCTTGAGTTGAGTCTACGACTTGCCTCCATTGCACTATGTAATTTATAATATTATATATATATATATATATATATATATATATATATATATATATATATATATAAAGAGTTTCCAATGATTCCTGTATACATAAAAAAAAGGATAAAAGACAAACAATAATTTTTTTTAAAAAAATAATACATAAAAAAATATTTACTATAGTGTACACTTCTTACTCTAACATCTAAAAGAAAATCTTACTCTAACATCTTATCCATCTAAGGAAACACTTGTAGCAAAGAATGCATTACCCGTTAGTTCCTCTTAGCCAAGGAGTTATATCAAGTATCAACTTTGCAATATTTCTCTTGTATCACTAAAGTGACCCTTTTGGAATAACAATCTGAAAAGGTGTAGCTCCCCAGCCCCCTCCCCAGCTCCCCAGCCCCCTCCCCAGCTCCCCAGCTCCCCAGCCCCCTCCCCATCCCACCAGCCCCCTCCCCAGCTCCCCAGCCCCCTCCCCATCCCCATCCCACCAGCACCCTCCCCAGCTCCCCAGCCCCCTCCCCATCCCACCAGCCCCCTCCCCAGCTCCCCAGCCACCTCTTTTTCAGAATTCTATTTTCAAGACTAGATAGAGCAAAATGCTCAGTTCTATAATTTAAAATCTACCTACTCTATTTACATATTTTTTTGCTTCTTATGCATTTTACTTTTGTTTACTATGGCTTACTGATATAGTTATTCCAATGAGAGAATAAACAGGTTTCTTATTCAATTTATCAATTTTAATCAACGGTTAGAATGAGAGAAAAAATAGATTTGGTGTTTACTTCTTATTCATTTTACTTTTTTACTATTGCTTACTATTATTGTTTATTTTTGTGGAGTTTTAAAGCAATTTGCTATTATTGTTTCAGTGAGAGAAAAACAAGTTTCTTATACAAGTTATCAATTTTAAGGAACTGTTAGAATGAGATAAAAAAACAGGTTTGGTTTATACTTCTTATTCATTTTACTTTTTTACTATTGCTTACTATTATTGTTAATTTTTGTTGGCCAGGAAAAAGATTGATGTTGGGAGCTAGCAAAATACATGGGTTGTGGAGTGTGTAAACTTTCACACTCCTGGTCATTTTACCTAAATAATTCTCTACAACAAATTATACATCTCCAGAAAAGGAATTAAATGAGGTTAAATGGAAGGTGCAGACTGTGAGTTTGTGCAAATGTTATATCCATATTTGTTGAAATATGCATAGCAGATCTTGCTGACAGTGCAATACCCAAGAAAGATGTGTGAATAACCCCATAGCTTTAAATTAAGTAGTACTGTAATATTGTGAGCACATCATTCCACAAACAACACAAATTTCTGATAACATAATACCCAGGAGATGAAATAACCACAAACTTATGCCAGCTTTAGTGTTCATAAGGGATACACACTTTTTGTTTTGCATGTACTAAGACAGGATCTCAGTTCATTTGTTCTATTGGTTCCATAAAATGCACATAAAAGCAAATTACAGAAAACTCGATAAGTAACAACTTGTAGCAAAACTTGCTTTGAATAAAGTATATTCATATCCCAAATAGCCTAGGATGTAAACCTAGATGGTTATCGGAAACACAAATGTTTTAGACATAAAGGTAGTCAAGTTGGTAGTTCGGTAACTATTATAGCACAAACAACTAACAGCAAGATGTCTTTATTCAAGAAAGAAAATGCTTGCAAAACCAGACTATCGAAGCGCAACTGCATTTCCCAATCTTGTTTCTGATAATGTAACATCTTCAACTAGAGTGGAGCGAATAGAGAAATATGTCAATAGTCTGGAAGCGGTAGAAGCTTAAACAGGAATAAAGATATCCCTCTATCTAATTAGAAGAACACAGATATTTCAATCAGAAGCAAAGACAAAATCACACTTCGATACAAAATGCCACGAGTCTAACAACATGTGGCTGGCTAAGTTCTTATCAAGATTGTTTTCAGCAAAAAAATTGTTTTACCTTACAACACGCATCAATAAATCAATACTATCAAAGTAGGTTGTTAATATCTATAACAAAGATTCAAATTCAAAGTAAGAAATAAAAATCCAAGCTTGTGCAATATTAGTACCTTGAAATAGAGTGAATAGGAGAAATAGACCTCGAGTGCGGTCTAGATACTGATCGACGAGAACGTTTGCCCATTGGGGATAAACTGTTAAAATTTGTGCTTTAGACAACATAACATCCATGACTGATAGCAAGAATCCTTTTTTGTGTGAATAACAACAAACCTTCTGCTCTTGCTTCTACGGCGTTTAGGACTCCGGCTTCTTGAAGAGGAAGGTTCGCCTACTCGAAAGGCGCTCGAACGCCTTCGGCTGCTTGAACGCCATCCGCCGTCCACTAGAACGTCGTCCACCGTTCGCAGGAAGGCCGTCCGCCGTTCGCCATTCGCAGGAAGGCCGTCCGCCGTTCGCTAGAAGGTCGTCCGCCGTCCGCGGGACTGCTCTTCTTTCCATCGTGAACTAGCTAATTGAAATCGGCTAACTCTGCTCTTCCGTTTCTAACTAGCTCGAAGTCTTTTTTTTTAATTTCTTCCGAAGTATATCTAGAGAGAAGTGAGAGCTAGAGAGAAGTGCAATATATGCTTCAATAGAATGAATTTGTAACCCCCATAACTACTCCCAAGGGGAGTATTTATAGAGAAAATACGGGCTGGGCTCTCAGGCCTTGGGCTTGGGAGGCCCATTTACAACTGGACCGCTACTGGGCCGAATACAAAGCCACTAATGGGCTGTACGAATGAGTAAGTATAAAATCTGGTTCTGTGAGGTCTTCGTGGCCGACGAGGACGTGGCCGACGAGGGCACGGCCGACGAGGGCACGGCCGACGAGGGCACTCGGGTTCCTTGGGCTCAGGACCATAATCTGAGTTGGCACCTTTTCGGCCGACGGGGGTCCCTTGGCCGACGTGGGCGCCACTCTCTAAGCTGAGACGTAGACGAAGTGAGGGAGAGTAGATTTTCGTGCTTTAGTGCTTTTGGCCGATGCGGGCATTCCCAGGCCGTTAGCTGTTGCGGCTTTGGCGCTGCTTCCATTTTGGTGATCCTGTTCTGTGCTTTGGCCGTTACCTGCTCCTAGCTGTGGGCGGGGGGGGGGGGGGGGGGGCATTGTTTCCTTGATGTGTTCGTTTGGGGACGATGAGTTTCCTGCTTCAATGGTGGCCGTTTGAAAGGCGCGCTTTCCCTTTCTTGGACGTTGATGGTTGAAGTTTACATTTGGGTCGACGAGGCCACTGAGGTTGAACCTTGTTTCGAGGACGATGGTGTCCTTCCCTTTGGGTGGCCGATGAGGGTGTTTGCGCACTCCTTTTGGCCGTCGCTGATTGGCTTTCGTGTTCTTGGCCGAAGAGCCCCTTATGGTTAACTGTTAGCAGGGGATGATGAATGTCCTTGCCTTAGGTGGCCTGTTGGCCGTTGTTGATGATGTTATGTGCCTCTGGCCGATGAGGCGCCATTGTGATGCATGGACGATGTGGCCATGCTTTGTGGTTACATTCATGTTCTTTGTATTGTTCCTTTTTGTTTTGTTGAGGCCGGTGTAGTCCTCCAGTCCCCCACTGCTTCAGGCCGAAGAGTGTGAGGGGTGAAGGAGTTGCTTGAGTCCCTGGCCGGAGCGGCCTCTCCGTAGTCCCCCTGAATCCAACCCTCATGGCGATTTTCTGGCCAAGGTAACCCTGTGGGAGAACCCTTGTGCGCAGATCGCTTGTAGAGAGTTATCATCAAGGGTCATTACAAGGAGCCGATGGCTGTGGGTTCTTTGTTCTTTTGGTTCTGTGGCCGTTACGAGCGTTCATTACGTTCCTGGCCGTTGTCGTCTCCTTATTGTTGGCGTTTGTGAACCTGGCAAGCAAATAGGACGTTGTGGGCGCTTGCTGGCACTCGTGAAGCCGGCAAGTGTATAGGCCGTAGAGTCTGTTTTGCCAGTGGGCTGTTGATATGTGGGTTGGGCCTGGCCCGTTGGTGACGTGGTGGCCTCCCATTGGTGGCCGTTGATGTGGCCATTGGGAGGGTGCCACGTGTAGTGACCGTTGGGTGGGGGGGTTCTATAAATACCCCTCCCCCTCCGACGAGAAACCTTATTTGCATTCTGAATTGTCGAAGTGCTGGCCAATTTTCTAGAGAGATAAACTCCCAAGCTTGTTCTTCGTGTTCTTCGTGTTCAAGGTTAGTGTTCATCGCCATCTTCTGTACTTTGCATACTTTGCTTCCTAGGCTAGTGATCTAGTGTTAGGCGCTTGAACACCTTTAGATCCTAAGTTATTCCCCTTAGGCTTGTAGTAGTTATGATGAAAAGCTTGAACGAAGACTACTATCCGTACGACGACCAGCCCTCCACTAGGTCACTCGACTATGAGGTGCTCGAGGAGTTCGAGGAGGAGATACAACACTTAAGTCCTTACAAGTCCGAAGAGCCGGTGGACGACGAAGTCGAGGACGAGGAGTCCGCCTCGTCTTCAAAAGGTGAGGACGCAGGTGCGTCCCGAGTGGTGGACGGGGCGTCCACTTCCGCCGTTATTCCATGCCCGAGGCCGGTGTCTGCCGTGAAGGGAGCAGATAAGCCTAAGAGAGTGAGGAGGCCGAAGAGTGGGCCGGGCGTTTCCTACCTGGATCTCACAAACATCTTCCTGATCAAGCCGGAGAGCAGCGCGGCTGACTATCTGGTCGCCCAGATGTACGTGGGGCCGTACGGGCGGGTTAGGGCACCCAGGCCGACGGACCATGTTCTTCTTCCGCCACCGGGATACTTTGGAGTATACCCGATGAGTTTTGCCAGGGGGCTGAGGTTTCCCCTTCATCCCTTCATCACCGAATACCTTGACATGGTGGGGCTCCCTCCGGCCTTGCTGACGCCGAACAGCTACTCGCTGATGGTGGGGTTTTTGCTCCGCTGTGAGGAGCTGGGATACAGTCCGACGATGGCCCTGTTCATGAATCTGTATCAGATAGGCCGAGGAAGCCACAAAAACTGTGCGGCCTATGCTACTCTTCAACAACTGCCGAAGAAGAGGAGCTTCACGGACTTGCCTTCGTCCATTCATGGGTGGAAGAGCAAGTTCGTTTTTGTATCCCTTGGTGAGAGTGGCACCAAGTTTCCCTCTCTCGGCCATACCGGGAGGTTCAATCTGCATGACCCGCCGAAGAGTTCTATCTTGGACGCTCAGGTGGAGGCTTTCTTGGAGGGGGGGCCGAGGAGCGTGAAGGATTATATCACTGAATACAAGATGACCGTGTTAGTATATATGTCCTAGCGACAATCATTTCTTTAAAGACATATGTACTTGATCACATTTAGTTTTTATATTTGATATATACACGGTATTACACTTTATGAATGATTGTTTTCGATTGTCAATGTTTTATTCATAATTGTGTTCCCTTGGATTTATGTTGTCAATAAGTAAGTGGGAGCTTATATGATATAACATAAGGTCCTAAAATAGCCCCAATCAATGATCATCAAGAATGGGATATTGATGATATACGATAAGATTGGTATGTGGACTGCATCATACTTTTAGAAAGTATAGTTGATCTCACGACTATGAGTTCCTGTAATTCATGATGGTCACATAGATATTTTAGAGAATATTGGCATACCCACCGAGAAACCATTTGATAAGTTCTATTCATGTGTCTATGGGATTATCGGCGTATAGAGTAGTGTAATAGTCCTCCGACTTGAGGTCAATACGTACTACATGTGCGGAGTGATGTACTTTGACCATGACCAACGCTTGCACTCCAATCGGGGTAGATACGGCATGTGTTGGGTGCATCACGAAGCACATGGAGTAGTAGTTGAGCCAAGAAAGGATTCATTCCTCATAATAGATTAAGAGAGAACATTCTACTTCTCATATCTAGATGGATCATAAAGTCATTGGCCAATGCAAAGATATATTCGTTTTGGATATCGAATATGATCGTTATGGATCATCTAGAAAGATTGAGAGACAGAGACTGAGTTATTGGGATAGACACTATATCATGTTCTAGACTTAGTTGAATGTTCGCTGAATGAAAGGACCGTATCACTATGAGCTCTATATTACAGGGAGTTTGTATAGTCCTCACAAACGTCCTTATATATTAAGTTTGTCTGGAGAATCGTCTAGGGATTCGCTAAGACCTTAATTTGATTAGTGCTTAATATATAAGGCCCTATGGGTCACACAACAAGTGATTATACCTTTCGATTGAATTGTTAGAAGGAATTAAATATTATTAATTGGATTAAATAATATTTAATTTGTAATACTGAAAATGAATTAAATATTAATTAGATTAAACATATTTAATTCATGAAGCTGAAGGAGAGTTCTATTTGATAGAATTAATTAAGTAAGATAAATTTGATTTATCATACTTAAATAAGATGTATTTATTATTAAATAAAGTAGATATTTTCTTTTGTAATTTTGAATTAAAAGAAAAGTAAATAAAATAAATATTAATATATAATAATTAGAAAGTGGCGTGCAACCACATCTCAATTATTATTATTATTATTTGGTTTTGTTTTATCTACTTATTTAATTAATAAGGAGTATTGGTCCTGTTAGGATTAGAACTCATTAATGAAGAACACTTTCATTGTGATTGGGAAACTAGTTTAGAACTAGTATAAATACACCCTCCTCCATAATTAATAGACCAGTTTTTAGATTCAGTATTACCAGTTTATTTCCCCGCAAAGAGATTTCCTAGCCTTTCTCTTAGGGAGATCTAACCGTTCTTTCGGAGAGGAGAAATCACGTGGATACCTAAGGTCAAGGATTATAACCGCTAGGCTGGAAGATCTGTAAGTTCTAACTCAGATCTGTTATAATTATCATATTCGTTATTTTGTCATAATCAGGAAAGATCTGTTTGGGAAAATTTTAAACTTCCGCTGCCGTACTTTCGAGGTACGTTACATCAATTTCCTCACAGTGGTATCAGAGCCAGACTGATTTTAATGACATTATACGGATTTCGTTAGATGTATTCGTAGGTAAAAATTATGTATTTCAATGAATAACATTTTTTTGCCGTAATTTGATTTTCGAAATCAAAATTTTGAACAAATCTAAGAATTTAGTTTTAGATATTAAAATCTGGATTCGTTCTGCCATAACTATCGACACGTCGAATTCCTCATGAACTTTTCTCGTCATCGGTGTTTCATCACCGAAATTAATGGATGCGCACGAGACTAACGATATTGCCTACTGGAAGATCTATCCTCTACGAATTTATCATGAGCTGAGAGAACTTGTGGGCATCGCTGCACCTTCGATCTGAAGCTTTGAAGTTTTAAACGATCCAGCTTTTTGAGTGTCCGGTGAATTCAGCCCTCCAGCTTTTGAGTTTCTCCAACAACAGAGGCCAGCGGAGGATTTGCAATGAATCACGATATCGAACAAGATGTTTCCGGCGAAAACCACGGATAAGAAGTCTACACTTAATAGAGTTCTTTTAAGGTTTTGCTGTTTCCGAAAATCAGATTTTACCAAAGAAAAAATTGAGATTTGATCTTACCGGTAAAATGAGTT